GTGGAGATGACCATGGTACATACCATGGTACACACCATCTCAAGTGGAGATGACCATGGTACACACTTCCAGCCTGCTCTGTTGCTGCAAACCAAGGCACAAGTGGAGACACAGTCAGATGAAGACAAAAACTCCCCAAGGACAGCAAATTCCCAAGGCAAAGAGCAGTGGAGGCACTCAGGCTCTAGGATGGTTCATCTGGTTTGTAGGTCAGCAGCTTTTCCTGCAGTTTATAAGCAACTGCAGGGTGTAAAACTGCTGCCCAACAGTGACTCCCAAGGTAGATTCATTTATGGACTGAAGTCATGAGGAACACACACAGGTTGTGTCCATGACTGTATTTGTGGTACAGGGGATGATGTTCACCATAATAGAGGATTTAGAGTGCCTGCCTGAAAGGGTGGATGAATTTATTGTGCCAGAGAACAAGAGTGACCAAAACCATGTGTCCATAGCCTGGATAAATGCATGTCACCATCAGCCAAGCGTGGAAAGTCAACTTCTTGGCAAAGCAGTGCAAAACTGGCCTTCAGCAGAAGTTGGGAGGGCAAAAGACTAATAAATATTAGAGTGAGGAAAATTCAATTGCATAGACAACTCCCATTAGTTACTTTAAGATCAGAGGAACACAGGAAATGGTCTGCTGGGTCAGCAGGATGGGGCATCTCCCCCAGCTAATGGTGCTTCAGCAGCTGCAGGAAAAGACAGTCTTGAGGAGGAGCACACAAGCCTGGCCACTGTTTGCAGTCCAGTCACCTCACACTCTTCCTGGCATCCACAATCATTGGTAGAGCATCCATCCCTACCTTCTCTTTCCCTCTGGACTTGCTGATGTTACATCCATCTCACTATTTCCAGCAGAAACAAATTCCCTGCTGTGTACAAAAGCACTTTCTAGTATCCCTTTTAAATAGATCCCCCTGGTTTTCATGTATCTCCCCTCATTCCAGAACTGTGAGAATTTTCATACCCCAAAGCAACTCATAGAATCATGGAACAGTTAAGGTTGGAAAAGTCCTCTAAGATCAAGCCTAACTCTTAATCCAAGCACCACCTTGTTCACCACTAAATCAAGTTCCCAAGTGCCACTTTTTTTGAACACTTCCAGGGATGGTGACTCCACCATTTCCCTGGGATGCTTGTTCCACTGCCTGAATATCCTTTCAGTGAAGAATGTTCTACTAATATCCAATCCAAACCTCCCCTGGTGCAACTTGAGGCCATTTCCTCATGTCCTATTGTATGTTAACTGGGAGAAGAAATCGACCCTACCTGGCTCCACCCTGCTTTCAGGGAGTGGTAGGGGTTGATAAGGTCTCCCCTAAGCCTCCTTTTCTCCAGGCTGAGGCTCCCAGCCCCCTCAGCCACTTCTCTCAATCCTTCTGCTCTAGTCCAGTCTTTTCATTCATTCCATTACCTTTCTCTGGACATGCTCCAGCATCAATTGTTTCCCACCACAGTTTTCCTTCTGTAATGTTAAACTGAGAAAGGTTCAGTTTTTTGTATTAGCAGCTCAGTCATAATGATTTTTGTTGGCTTCTCCAAAGGTACATACTCTGAAGTTAGCTATTAAAAATGTATTTAGCTGTCTCTGCTTCCTCAAAAATGTCCTTGCTCCCTTGTGTAAGAAGAGCCACGTGCCTGGGGAAGGCCATGCCCAGCGTGGTGAGTCACCTGCCAAGTAGCCACCACTGCTCATCAAAGCCTTTGCTGTCCTTTGTGACAGGAAGGGGTGCAGGTCCCTCAGGGATGGCTTTTTTGGCTGCCACCTGAGGAGTGCCTGACCTTCCTCTGAGCCAAAAAAACAGATTTTGGATTACTGAAGGCACGGGACTGCTGTGGAGAATCTGTTTTCAGTGCTTATCCAGCATGAGCCCCAAGCCATGAGAAAAGCAGAACACTTGTGAGGGATGGACAGATTCCTGCTGAAGCCCCAGGAAAGCTGCAGAGGGCTGGGACTTACAGGCTCTCTGCAAGCAGGAGCTGTGCTGTGGAAGGCCAAACCCACACCTGGGGAATGGAAGCTCATCTCTTGTCCCCAGTTCCTACAGGGCTTGGTCAGACAGTTTTTCTGGAAGAAATGAGGCAGAGTCCCTGGGAGGACTCCATTTAGTGCAGTCTAACTTACTGAGCGAGGTGTTAGGCTGCAGCACCTCCTCTTCCCACCTCTTGTGGAAATGCAGATGAACCAGGATCAGACCACTCTATCCATGGGACTCTCCACTCCTCCCTTCCCTCAGAGCCAGCTGTCTGAGCCCTTGCTCCACAGGCACGTTGGATTTCTCACGGCAAGCAGGAGGGCCACAGCAGGGGCCCCACGCAGTTGGGACCAGTCTGGGCACCAGGCCAGAGCCTCTCCCTGACCCCACACACACCAGACACAGCTTGGTTCTTTATTTGCTGACCCACAGCTGGTGGCTGGGCTGAGGCAGCAGAGGAGAGACCCAGAAAGGCTGCTGGAAGGGAGACAGCCCAGGGACACACTCATGCCCTCAGAGTGTGGTGCTGATTCCCTCAGTGGGAGTGATGGTGTTCCAGAGGTGTGCAGAAACACTGCATTATCTGAACCACAAGGAATCCAGCTCAAAGGGCTCTGCTCAAGTTCCTTTATGCTCCATAAGGAGCACACTAATCCCAAAACTCCCCTCTACCACCTACCCCCACCTTGAAACAGCTCCCAGTGCAATGAAACGTTCCCGCTTCAGACTTCCAAAAACAACCATAAACACAGGGGATAATTAAAAAGTGAACATCATGAAAAATACACTGGAAAGCCAGGTAGCTTAAAGAAGTGCCAGATATTCAACTGGTCTCCAAGAACAGCAGATGTTTTTCAACCTAACGTTGCAGAAACTTACTAACTCAGATGTGTTTCCTAAATCAGAACCAGAGATGAGAATGTGTGTTGTGTATTGGGACCATATCAAGTACTTTTCCAGCACTGTTAAGATCTGTTATTAAAAAAAAGGGGGAAAAAAAGGAAAAAAGGAGGGGGTTGGGTGTTGATAGAAAAAAACTAGGCCTGGATAAAGGATTCTGGATGCTTACCTAAATCATGTAAGAAAAGGAAAATTCCTTCCCCATACTGAAAAGACTCAGATGCAATTAAGAGGGAGATACCATCAGCCCATTTCCAAGTCTGGTATTAAGCTATTCAACAAGAGAATGCAGAATACAGTGGCTGCAGCTGATACAGCCTTAGCGATATTTAGGCAGTTACTTTATTTTCTTTTTTTACTCAATTATCTGAAAAGAAACCATTCAGCAGCTCACTTTGGAAAGCCAGCCTCCCTCACCTGGTACAAGGCATTCTGCTCTAGCACTGCAATTAAAAACTCATCATCCCAATGCCACTGGGCATTGGTTTGTCTTTCCACCAGCAGCTCCTTTACAGCCAGAGAGAATGCACGGCTGAGGAGCCTCTCTGCTGCTCTTCCACACCTTTGAGGAGATTTAGAGGGATTTGCTCATGTTTTTCTCACTCAAATGGAGATTATGTGGCATGATTAAGAGATACTCTAGGAAAGAAACTACCAGCTTCCACAAGACATTCCCTTTGTTTGATATAACACCCATCAGTTATTAATGGGGTGGCTTTAAGCTGTTGCTTAGCTTAGTAATGCCATATTTAACAACAAACATTACTTCTCTCCCCTCTCTGTAGTGGCTGCTTTTGTCCAGCAATTTCTGGGTGAATTATTCTAAACCAATATATATTTTTTTTATATTATATTATATATATATATGGTGCTTTTCCATGTACAAAGTAATAGAAGAGTTATGAGCAGATAAGGGGAGTTCCAGCTTCTGCTGTTTCATGGGAGGTGGAAGTGCAAGGACTTTCTGGGTCACTGAATCCACAGCCTGGTGATCTACTACAAAACTCTTACAGAAACTGATTTTCCACTCCTTATAAAAACAAACAAACAAACCACAAATCAGAAAATAATAATATGTAACATTATAAATAGGGATTTACTACACTGCAGTTAAGAAATAAAATGTGCCTCTTAGGAAAAGTGTTCCCACTGTCTCAGAAACTGCTCCCTGAGATGTTTAATTCTGAGTAGATCCTTCCTTCCCACATTTGTGATGCAAGGAAACCTGGGGGGAAAAAAAAACCTGCTCTGCCTTTCAGGTGGGTGACAGCAGGAAGGACACAGAGAAACCACAAAGGAAAGCTCTGCTCAGGCCGTGCTATGGAATGGACAGGCTGCACACATATCCCTGAAATCCACACCAGCCACAGCACCCGCTCCAGTTGTTTGTCCATTGCCTTGTGGATGCCAAAGCAGAAGATGAACCTGCAGCAACCAGCTCAACCTGCCCAAAACCTCCAACCTTCCCACCAGGCAGCTCCAAAGGTTTTTGTGAATGGAAGCAGTGCTGCCTATGGAGGGCTCCTTTCTCCTTTGCTGCCAGACTCCCCTCCAGTCCCAAGGGAATGAGACAGAGACCAGTGGGTGACCCAATTGTCACCTTCCATGACCCTGCTAGGGCTGTAACAGAGCCAACAGCCAAAGCCACAGAGGTGCTCTCCTCCACCCAGCCCTGCTCCCAGAGCACACAGCTCTTGGGGATTCACTTACTGGACATTCCATGGGGACACCTGTTGTGTCCCACAGATCGATTTGGTTACAGAAACCAACCATCTGTCCCTGTGTTGTACCAACCCAAGTCTGCAAGCACCCAGACAGAGAGCAGGATTAATGTTATACTTCCATCTGCTCTGAAACATGAGCTCCCCATCAGCAACAACCTGAAGATGACTCTGAGCTCCTAAATCCCACCTTGCCCTTGGAAAAATGCAAGCTATGAGAAGAACAAGAGAAGCCATGACAAGCCAATTCCCTCAAAGCACAAGTCAAATCCACAGCAGCATTTTAAACTTGCCCCTTTTCCTGCATGGCTAAATGCAAGGAATGTTATCAGGTCACATCAGGAGACGTCTAAGTGGTGACAACACCAATATAAAAGCACTGACTAGGTCTGCACCAATGTAACAAACTTTAAAAATTATTAAAACAGACTGTTTATTACAGCATATGATGTGTTATATTAATTTACACAATGATATATATATATATATAAAAACAGCCATTGATGATGTACAGTAAATTGGACATCAACAGGAATATTAAAACTACTGATACTCATGCACGTGACATGCATATGGGTATTTTTTTTCTTTTTCAAAAGCAGTTTTACACAATATAATGAAGTTACTAAGCCTTGGTCAGCTGCTCCAGCTGCAGTTTACTCTGGACACCACCGCAGCCCGCAGTGGGACTCCCAGGAGATCAGAGCAGAGTGCACTCCAGGGAAGGCGACTTAACCTTGGAGAACAGATTGAACAGGAGCCCTTTCCTGGTGGGGGAAGGCTGGGGGAGGACAGGAGTGTGTTTTAAGAAGAGAATCAACAAGAAAAGAAAAAAAAACAGACCAGAGTACCAGAAGGAAAAAGTTCAAGATGTGGCAACAGCAGCAGCAGAAAAGGACAAGCAAAACCATTAAGAAACACCCTCACTCCCTCCCCTTTATTCCCTAAAAACTTATGACCTTAAGCTGTCGATATCCTGTATAAGACCCAGAACTGGAAAAACTAGGCAAGGAAGATCCATTCCCAGAAACATTTTAGCCTTTTCTCAAAGCCTTCTGACACCACGCACTGGAGGCTGTTCACCACTGAAATGGCAATGTTGTGTTGTTGGGTTTTTTTAAACAAGTGTAACGGTCTTTTATTTCCACATAAAAGGCACTAGTATCCACCCAAGTTCTGAAGACAAGTGACATAATTTACCTTAAGTTTTAAATATTTGTATTAAAAAAAAAAAAATCTGTGGAAATATGTACAAAAAAAAAAGCACCTTGCTTCCAAAAGCAGAAGCAGATACATTCCACCAAGTCACCTCACTAGACGGTCGTCATGAGCTTGAGGGAGCCTGACCGAAAGCGAAGGATCTTCTTCTTGAGGTTATGGGAGGCTTTGATTTTGACAAAGGCCTTGGCTGCATTTTCATGCAGCTCTGGTGCCGTGACTGTTTGGATGGGGAGCGTCTGGACAAACTGGGACCAAATCAGGCCCCCGCTCTCGTCAGAGTCACTGGTGGTCGTGCTCTCCCCTACAAACTCCACCTCGCTCAGGCTTGACTCGCTGTCTCCAAAGCAGTTCGTGGTGTAGTTGCTCTGCTCGTCCTCGCTCGTGTCCACCACGGTGGAGTGGAACAAGGACTCGCACTCGGCCGAGTACTCCGAGTCGCTGGCCACGTAGGCGTAGGGGCTGACGTAGGGCAGGGGCACCTGTGAGTAGACCCCCACGCCCTCCCGCCGGTTCCTCCTCGCCCTCCGCAGGGCCTCCTCGTAGGAGATCTCCGCCGAGGACTTCCAGCGGCGGTAGTCGGCACGCTTGTGCTTGGGCTTGGCCACCACGACCTCCCGGCCGTGCCCATGGGAGCGGAGGGCGGATCTGTGCAGGCCGGCCTGCCGGCCTGGGAGGCTCGGCTCCAGCGGCAGGCCGCCGCCTCTCTTCCCCCGCGACGAGGGCTTTTTCAGTTTCTTATTTGTATCCAACTCCTCGGGGAAGCGGCACTTCTTGCCGACCAGTTTGGCTTTCTCCCTCAAGGTCTGTGAGTTGTTTTCCACCCCATTGGCAAGGTGGGACCTGTGTTTCAACGCAGAGCTTTTCAAAATCTTGACGTTGCGGGTGCCTTTGTGAAGCTTCATGCTTTGCTGCTGGGCTGGGATGTACTGGGCATTCACCAGCAGCCCATCATCCAGGCTCTGCGAGGAAGAGCCCTCGCTTTTGAAATCCAGCGCAGGCCTCTCCTCCACAGCCGGTGACGAGGAGCGAGCGGCCTGCAAGCTGCTCTTCAACAGGATCTTTTTGGGAGGCTGGCTGACCCTGTTCTCTGGCTGCAGCACCACTGGCTTCCCTGCGGTGTCTTTGGGAGATGCAGCAAAGAGCTGGCCATTTTCCTTGGAGCCATCCCCGGCCGTGCCAGCGGTGTTGCGGCCCAGCTCCGGCGGTGCCGGTTTGGTGCCCCGTGGCAGGTGCTTGCTCTGGAGCTCCGTTGTTGTACCAGGTGGGAAAGCTGCTGGCAAAGGGGCCTTCCTAGTCTCCAGCTGCTCCCCAGCCGGCTCCCTTGGCCTCTGCTTTAACGGGGAGGGAGCCGTGTGGTCCGGAGCGGGAGCCCCACCGGGAGGCAAACACACCGGCTTGGAGCTCTTCAGGTTCACCACGTTGCCGTGGGCCACCATTGCTGCCGGCTGCCGGACGCACATGCTCCCATGCCTCAAGATCCCTTTGGTGGCATCGGCGTTGAGACTCGTCCGGGGTTTGTTAGTCCTTACTGCGTGAGTCTTTTTCTGAACCAGGCTTAAGATGTAGCTGTCTATCCTCTTGCTGGTGGAAGGGCACGGAGCCGGCCAGGAGCTCTGCGGGGGGAAGGCGCTGGCGGATTGTCCCGAGTCCGTTTCAGATGGGGTGCAAACGTCGCTCAGATCGCAAGCGAGCCTCTCCTCTTCTCGCTGGGGGTTCTCAGTCACGGGGAGGAGGAACATGGGGCTCTGCACAGCCACGGCGTGGAGCGGGCTGGGGTAGCGGTAGATGTCGTTCCCGTTTTTAGACACCAGATCGCACTGGTACTTGGGATGAACATCTGCAACGACATCGAGGGAATTTGAGTGCGGTGTGGATAAAGAGCGACAGACAGAGCCTGCGGTCTGGTCCTCATGCTGGCCTTCCTTATTATAGTCCATCCAGCCTATGAGATCTGAAAGGCATTTTAGGAGAGTTTAGAGAGCCTGCCAGGGACAGCTGTGCTACGTTTTTAATGTGCTGCCAAGGACACCGGTCCATCTAGGCACACAATGCAAAGCTTTAACTACAGCAGCAGCAATTTTGCAACCAGGGGTGCTGTTCAAGCAATACAAAAAGCAGCACTATCCTTCTGTGGGTCTCCCTGTCACTGCATCTATGTGGGATTTACCCCACTAGGACAACATGGTTAAAACAATAAGAATCGCAGCCCTAATGAGAACATGTACATTGGTTTCAAACCTGTGCCCAGGTTGTTAAGATCTTCCTATCTTCCTTTCAAGCCACCCAGAAGTCTGCAAGGGTCTCTTATTTGTTACACAGTCACCTGTGAAACTCTCTGCAGGCCTCAGCATATATGAATTTTAAATCCAAAGAGAAACATAAAAAATACAGACAAGAGAAAATTAATTCTTGTAGCTTATTGACAAATTTCACTTCCAGATTCTTTCAAGCATGTCTCTGGAAAAAAATCCAGACTTAATTTTATTGTTGTTTTTATTATTGTTACTACTACTATTATAATAATATTTATAGCAATGCTAATAGTAATTACAGATGCTCCTTTTGAGTGATAAGGGGTTAAAGAATGGGAAACAGGCTCATGTTTTCACACAAGTACAAGGAGTGCAGGTCAATCCAGCTGACATCCTAGCCTTGGCTCTGTAAAGAGAGTTCTGCCAGAGAAATCCAGTGCATTTCACGATGCATGAGTCAGATTTAATGGCTAATTAATGGCTAAGGAGCTTACTAGAGAGGTAAGCGACCTTAAGAGCAGGGCTTCCACCCAAGCACCTAAATTATTATTATTTTTTAAGCTTAAGTTGCCCTTGTCTTCTTGGGTAGGGGTACAATCTAAATGATCCTCTGCCAGTCCTGTTTTCTGCCCTTGGGCTGGAAACTTCAGCCAGGGTACTCTGATTGGAATGCTCAGTGCTCATCACTTATCTAAGGCTTATTTCAAAGAGGTCTCATGGGCATTGATGAAATTTGCTGATAGAGATGATGTTCCTGTGTGAGCAGGAGAAGATGAACAGGGAAGTTAAGAGCAGAAACTTCCTCCAGATCACCTCTCAGTTTTCCTGCATTTCCTAAATTCTATGTTGGCTTCAAGGAATGTTGCCAAAAAGATATTTTTGAAATTTGTCAGTTTGTGAAATTTCATCCCTGAAAGTGAGACTGTATGAATAATGAGAGGTATAGGTTTTTGTGGTGTATACAGAAAAAACCAGCAATGCAATCAGCTGGAATTCCTTGTGTGTGGTTTTTTTTTTTTCTTGTTTTAATGTATGGCACACGAAGATCACAAATACCTTACAACAGGGAGCATTAAATTACCTCGAGCTGCTCACAGGAAAACTTAGAGGACTTGTCAGCATCTCAGAATGAATGTATTCCAGGCTGCATTTTCCCAATTCAGAAACAGAAGAGCATGAATTATTCTGTCCTTGATTCACAACAAATCACTATAAGTTAACCTTAAAGAGCAGAATGCAAAGTGGAAATGCTGTGGTTGGAATCATCCTCCCCAGCCCAGAATGAGCTAAAGCTTTTGAAAATGTCTGCAGTCAGTAACCCTGGATCACAGCAGCCCTATTCAAGAGTCTCTTCTGGAGAACAGAGGAGGCCTTCCTTATGAACCATCCCACAAAAAAAGGCTTGCATCTTTAGTCCGGTGTCCAAGGAAAATTCACAACTCTCTGCCACAGAGACAAAATATACCTGGCCTGTTCACGATGCCTATGTGTCTATACTATAGAAATGCAGGACACACCTCACCACACTCACCCAGGGGTCAAGTACCATCAGAATTGACAAAATGACTGCTAAAAACGTGTGCCCTGACCCCCTAAAACTTGTAGCCAGCTCCTTCCTCTGTGACTTTAATGCTGACATGGCTAAGAGCTATCGTTAATTATTGCTATTCACTAAAAATGCTTTTCTAAAGAAAGAGAAATCAGCTGACTGATGTGTTTCTGTGTACAGGTACCACTGCCCTCTGCTGGGTAGAGCAGCTGCCAGATCTTCACATGCCATTTTGATGTGTTTAGAGTGACATATTCATAGTGCAAAGCTGGAGCAGTGCAGGGCAAACAGTCCTGCCTCGTGACCCATGTACGTGAGAGGCACTGGGATCTTTTCAGAGCACAGTATGGCACATGAAAGGAAGAAGGGTTAATCCAACCCAGGTACTCCTGAGGCAGTATTTCCAAAGCCAAAGCCACCTCCTGGAGTATGATGTATTCCACCTGCTTTTACTATACCTGCAGATTTAGGGCGTCCATCTGAGATATTCAGTGTTGCCTCCAAAGGGCTGCAAAAGCAAGTGCTAGAATGGCAACTGGATAAACACTCACTGAAGACAGAGTTAGATGAATTGGAAAGCGATCCAGAAGCTCCATCACTCAGCTCATAAAACCCTATAAAAATAAGAGTTTGGATTTATATTAGTTATGTCTACACAAAGTTACTATTTGTGTCCCTAGAAAGGCAGTCAAGCTGGTGTTTGAGTTGGCTTGCTCCAACACAAGTAGTTATGGGATTTCATTCAGTCACCCCAAAAACAGCCAACACTTTAGTAATATCCTTATTGCCATGAATTTACTTTGTTTAAAAGTAAAGCACTTAAAACAGCAGAACTTATCTCCGCATATGGAATTTTTTTTTAACTTTACAAGGGTTGGGGTTCTAACCCTTTCAGGGATTTTCAGATTTTAGCAACAAGGATCCAGGCTGTGTTTGGCAGCTCACTCATTTAATAGAGTGTTATACTTCCAAGCCAGACTCTCCAACTATTACTTAACTATAAAAGTGTTGGGCCCAGTGCTATCCATTACTTTCCTCAAAGTTCTGGAGATAAACATAATATTTGTGGATTACAAGAAAAAAGAAAAATGGTAAATAATGTGCAGATGCAGCAAATTTAATTTCCTAGTAAACTGGGACTACTCAAGGAAAAATGACATACCACAACCAAAATTTAAATTGTTCATTTAGGAGTAAGGAATGCAGAGCATGCCTACAGAATGGGGATGCATCCTGGAAAACAATAATCTTGGAAAGGGCTTAGTCAGCGTGGAAAAGCAGCTCAATCAAGCTTAATGATATGGCAAAAAAAAAAAAAGCTAATGAGATTGTTGGATGTACAAAGAGGCTAATGAATAGCAGCAGGGAAATGACTTCAGCAGTCTACATGGCCCTGGTAAGAAACACTGGAACGGTGAGCCCAGTCCTTGAATCCAGCATGCATAAAACAAAGCTAAAAAATTGGAAAGAGGCCACCAAGCTATTTAGGAGCTTGGAAAACTGCCTTAAAATGAATGACTTCAAGAACTTGACCTGTTTAGCTCATCAAATAAAAGCCAGAATTATAATGTATAGCACCTCCAAGAGGAGAAAAAGCTGGGTATTAGAAAAGACCTTTCAGGGGAGAAAAGGATATAAAAATATCAGTGCTGGAACAAGTCAGATTCAGATAGAAATTAGCAATGGCTTTAACAATTGCTAGTTGGAGGATTCTCCACTTTTTAGCGTGTTCATAACAGGTCTAGGGGCCTCTAGGAAAGGCTCCCCATAGTTAAATACCACTTACTGGCTTCAACACAGTTAGAATGAGATGAAATTCAATATATAGAGGATTAAATTGTCTGATTCCATGTGCCTTTCTGGCTATATGACCACTTTTGATATCCTCCTCCTGATGGTGGTGCTTCTTTTCACCATTTTTCCTTCAGCCTCCTCCCTAATATACAGGACAATTAGAACTTTTTGAACTAATGTGAAGGTGGCCTTGAAAAAACAAATGCCCCAAACACTAAAAAATCTAATTAATCTTGAAATGCTCCTCTGAAAGAAGCAAACAGCAGCCTTTCCAGTGGCCAGTGAACTCTGCTAGTAGGGATTAATTATCAGAGTGTGAACGAGATGTAGACATTTACTGCTGCAGTACTGAAAACTCCAGCACTAAAATCTACAGCCAGTTTAACTCCAGGTCCCAGGGGAGGCTGGATTTTGCTGAGCACTGCCCCTACCTGAACTTGGACGACTGTCTGTCTCCAGGTGTTCATCTGTCGTTTTCTCCACGTCCAGGCGGAGATCACTTATTTGCTTATCCAGCTCTTGCAACTGATTTAATAACCCAGCATCCCTCCTCCTCAAGCAGTTCTGCAAAAAAAGAGGACAAAGAACATCAGCTCCTTCACTGGGGCAGATGTGAAGGGGTCCCAAGGACCAACAGACTTCTCTATCTAAGCCTTGTGAAACACCTCATCGATATTCTTTTATATAAAAACCAAACAAAGCCCTGACATTTTAGATGGATGCTCTGGATAAATACTTCAGTGAAAAATTACACAGGCACTTCATCCCAGCCTGTTCTAGCCAGTTCTGCGTGAGGAGCATGTTCCACAGCTCAGGAAGACCAATGGGCTGTGCTGAGCACAGCTGGAAGAACAAAGCTGGACTGTGTGATAGGGCCCAAGCAGACCTGTGCACATGGAACGGGCAAGGACAGCCGTGCCAGCCTAGCAGGGCACGTTCCCCACCACACTGGTGTTACTCAAAGATCACATCTGCTCACACAATGGCACCAAACAGCTCTGCCAACAAGAGCCTGTGGTGTGGGAACCGCCTTGTTCTGCTGCACATTATGAGCTTAGAGTCCACCATCCAGAGAGGGAGATTCCCAGGGCTGGGATCACAGCCCTTTTATTAGTTTTGCAGTGCAGCAGGAAGGAAGAGTAATTCTTCCTCTTCACCCATTATAATTGTATGAAATTGCTGTGAGATGAATTTTAAGGCTATTTATGAAGGTAATTTGATGGCATAAAATAAGCAATAAGAAATTATTTTGCAAGGCACTCATTAACCCACGGTCAACACAATCAGTTTCCCCCAGTTGCTTATCCATCATCTGTTCAGCTTCATACCCTTTAATTGCTCTGCCTTTGGGGAAAGGGGAGGAGGCAGGAGGAAGGTTCATCTACTTTTGTTTCTTCGAGTGCATCATTGACTGTCACCCAGGGGTGCTCTGACACATTCATTGCAATGAGTTTTGATGCTCATAGCTGGACTAGTTCTGAACCCATTAAATCCAGGATAATCTTTTCCATGGAGTGGATCAGTCATAAAATTATAGATTCATAGAAGGGTTTGGGTTGGAAGGAACTCTAGAAATCACCTTGTTCCAACCTCCTTGCCATGGGCAGGGACACCTTCCACTAGACCAGTTGTTCACATCCCTGTCCAGCCTGGCCTTGGGCAAAGGGAGAGCAAATGCTAAAAGCACTGGCAAGCACTGGTTGAGGATGTGCTGGCGTTTAAGGCCATCCTTTGGAGAACCAAAGGGGTGATCCCAAGCCTTCTCCCCCATTCCTGCGGGAGCCAGGGCTGGCTGGCAGCCAGGCTGGAGGAGGTGATGGGTTCAAGGGATGACTTCGCTGCGCCACCTACTGCCACCAGCGCCCCCTCCCCCAGTCAGCGCCGCATCTGGTTCCAATCTGCAATGTCAAGTGCACAAATTAAAGTGCTACCACAAATCTCCGACTTTTTTTTTTTTTTTTTTTTGAGTAATGATTCCGTAGTCCTTCACTACGGCTCTCGGCAGCCAGCCAGCCCCTTCTCAGCAGAAAAAAAAATATTTTTATCTTTTTAAAAGGGAAATAACCCTAACCTAACTAAACCAAAAGGGTAACAAGAAAAAAAAAAAAAAAGGAAAGGAGGAAAAACGGCGGGTGGGGAAAAGAAAAAATCAGGGAAATAAATCACGCAATCCAACTTCTCCCTGGGTGAAAGCAAATGCTGAGCCGCGCACAAAGAGCGCCAGGCACAGCTGTACGCTATTTTCATTGAAAAATGATCTGCCGCTTCATGCCGCCCTCCATCTCTTCCCACACCGGGGCTCCAAAGCGCGTCCTCCAACAAAAGCATCCCTTCTTTAGGGGCCCGATCCTGCCGGTGCCCGAGCGTCCGCTGCCTCCTCCCGGGGCCGGACCGGGAGCGGGTCTCAACTTCCATTCATGGCAACGGCGGCGCCTCTCTTGCCATGAATGGAAGTGGCACCGCCGGCCCGGCTCCGGGACCCGAAGGGAACCGTGCGGCCACCGGCACAACGCCGGCACGACCCGGCCACCTCCGAGCTGTCACCGGCCCGTGCCGGGTGACAGCAGGCCGGGGGTGCCGCCCGCGGGGCTTCCCTGCTCCTTCCTCGCCTCTCCGCGGGCAGCACCCGCGGGTCACAGCGACACGGGGGCACCGAGCGGGTCACACCGACACGGGCACACCCGCGGGTCACAGCGACACGGGGGCACCGAGCGGGTCACACCGACACGGGCACACCCGCGGGTCACAGCGACACGGGCAGCACCGAGCGGGTCACAGCGACACGGGCAGCACCGAGAGGGTCACACCGACACGGGCACACCCGCGGGTCACAGCGACACGGGGGCACCGAGAGGGTGACAGCGACACGGGTACACCCGCGGGTCACAGCGACACGGGGGCACCGAGCGGCCGCGCATCGCCCGGCGCTCCCCGCCCGCATCCGCGGCGCTCCCCGCCCGCATCCCGCGGCGCTCGCCACTCTCATCCCGCGGCGCTCCCCGCCCGCATCCCGCGGCGCTCGCCACTCGCCACGCTCAACCCGCGGCGCTCGCCACTCGCATCCCGCGGCGCCCCCCGTCCCCGCTCACCAGCTGCCTCCGCAGGAGGAGGATGTTCTCCTCCAGGAACTTCTCCTCCAGGCTGCGCGCCGGCGGCCCCTCTCCCGGCGGCTCCCCGCGGCCGCCCTGCGCCCCGGGCCCCGCTCCCGCCGGCCGCCGCAGCAGGAGGCTCTTCACCAGCAGCTCCTGCCGCTGCCGCAGGTACTCCAGCTCGCCCAGCCCGGCCAGCGTGGCCTCCAGCCGCTCCCGGGTGCGCTGCCGCTCCGCCTCCGCTTCGCCCTTCTCCCGCCAGCGCGCATCGGGCTCCCGCGGCGCCCCCGCGGGTCCCCCCGCCGCCTGCCCCGGCCCCGCCGCCGCCGCCGCGGCGCTCGCCACGGGGCTCGCCTTCATCGCCGGGGAGGGGGCGGCCGCCGCTGCCAGCCCTGCCCGCGGGGGCACCGCGCCGAGCCCCGCGCCGCTGCCGCCGCTGCCGCCGCCGCCGGTCGCGAATGGTCCGCGGGGCGCCCGGCTGCTTCCCCGGCTGCCACCGCCCCGCGCCCGCCCACCGCCCGCCTCCATCCCTCCTCCATCCCTCCTCCATCCCTCCTTCCCGCCCGCCTTCCTCCCCGCCCGGCCGCGGCTCCACGCCCGTGGTCGCCTAGCTCCTCATCTTCTTCCTCCTCTTCCTCCTCTCACCTCCGCTCGCCGCGGGGCGCGGGAAGGTGGGGGATGCGGGAGTGCAGACCGCTGACCTTCCCAAATTCTCCATCCGTGACCTCTGGAGCCCTGCACGGCGTCGTCACAGACCATCACAGAGTGATGAAGGAGCGCAGAAAGGTTTATTATTATTATAGAATCGCAGAAAGGTTTGAGTTGGGATATTAAAAACCACCTCGTTCCACCCCCCCCCCGTGCCATGGGCACGGACACCTCCACTAGACCTGGCTGCTCCAAGCTCCATCCAACACTGCCAGGGATGGGGCATCCACAGCTTCTCTGGGCAACCTGTGCCTCACACCCTTACAGAGAAGAATTTCTTCCTGATTCCTAATCTAAACCTGCCCTCTGTCAGTTTAAAGCCAAACGCTGCTTATACAGACCAGCACATCCAAACCTGGAGCAAAAATAATGCATCTGGGAAAAAAAAAAAAATCCAGGCATGAGGAGGTGAGGGTGTAAGGAGAGGGAAAAGTGGAAATCAGAGGAGAACATGGAAGTCCTTGCACTGGGGTGCTGATCATGGCATGGGCAGTGGGATCAAAGCACTGGTGAGCAGTTGATTCAAAGCCTGTGTGAATAAACCAGTCCAGAAAAGCCATAATGAAGTGAACTTTGCAGCAGCACGCAGGCTAATTGCAGCAAAGGATCTGCAATTAGGTTTTCAATGGGCATGTGGTGGAAAGAGGCGGAGAGTGGAATACAGATGCTGAAGGGGAAAAAAAGAAAATGTTAGTTTCAAAATAGAGTGAAAATTGACTTGCAGATGTACTAAGGGGAGAAAATGGAAGAGGGAGAAACAAGCACTGAGTCCTCCACAATATGGGGTTTGTTTGGGAAGATGTGAGCCCACTGTACAGCAGCTGTCATGGACATTATGAACATAATGAAATGCTCTTTCTCACCATCCCTCAAAAGATGATGAGTGTTTGTGGTACTGGAAGGTCTCAGATGGAATTTGTCTCCTCACTCCCCTGCTGTTTGCAGCATACAACACATAGTGCTGTGCCATACCTCTGCTTTACCTGGTGGGTCCTTGTCCTGAGAGCCACAGCTGGCAAAATCCTTACTTCACAGTCTTCTTAAACCACTGTAAAGTGCTTTCAAAAAAGGACATCCACTTTCACTTGCAGCTTAAAACCAGCCCTCCCAAATCCTGGCCCAGATGCAGGTGAGGGCATATGCTCAGAGGATGGTTGAAGCCAAAGCCATCTCTGTTTCTTTTTGCAGCTTCAGCCCACGGCTGTGGCAGTGCAGAGCATCTGTAGTCATCTTTTAGTTTGAATTGTGAGGGATTTTTCAAAGGCTCTCTCCAGATCATCCCAGCTCACCTGAGGTTGCTAAGATAAACTGGAAATAAAAATAAGCCACATGCTATACCTCTGTCTCTCTACTCCTTTTGTGTATCTGGGCCCATAAAAGACCCAGAAATAGGTTCAACCCCTGCCCCACAGCATTTAGGCCACCCCTCCTGACTTAAAAATCCATTCCATGGCTTTCCCTCTTGCATGGATCTTGGCTCACAGCATCCCTGAGCATGTTGATGCTGAAACTTGTATTGCAATGCAGAGTGACTTCTCCAAGAGCACCAGAAGCTCTCCAGATATGGAAGCAAAAGCTTCCACATTTTCCTTCACCCTTTGTAGCCAGGTTTTGCATATAGCTCTGTGCCTTGTATGTGTTTGCACACAAAGCTTCATGCAATATTTATGCAAAGCTATTTCAGCTCCTTCTGAGCTGTTGTGTACTGTACAATATGTATGTTGCTTCCAAAATAAAATACAGCTGAATAAAATCTGTCTTAATGATATTTTTTTTTTTATTTTGCTACTTATCATCTGGTAGATTTCAGCCTGATTCCTCCCTCCTAAGTCACCTCTTTCACTTTGAGGAGTATAAGGTGCTGTCTCCAGGACTCTCTACTCACATTTCTGTGGTTCATCCTTCACAGTGCATTAGTTCCTGAAAGGAAAAGAAACACAGGAACTGCCAGAACAGTCAACTCCCTACATCACACAGAGAGGAGAACACAGCTTGGAGTGAACCAGACTCACCATGTGGTTATAGGATCAGTAAAGAGGAAGGGAAGGAGGATCTGATGGAGAGAAACTGAGCTTTTTCCCCATAGAGGAAGGAATGAGGTGCCTGGGAAGCAGTGGGACTGGGGAGGCTGGACAGCATGGGAGGAGGAGATGTGCAATTGAGCAGCCAGCAAGAAATGGCAATTTATGTGAATAATAGAGGGAAAATAAGGCATCACCTATGACAAAACAAGGGAGGGGAGGGCCAGAGAGTCCATTTGAGAGCTAGAATGCAGCTCAGCAGAGTGCAGGTCATGGAGACAAGGGAGGAGAGTGCAGGTCATGGAGACAAGGGAGGAGACAAGGTCATGGAGACAAGCCTGGAAAGGCAGGCTATGGAGGAGAAAGAGCAAAGAGAATGAGCATAAAATACAGGCCTTTTAATTCACTCAGAAAACAGCAAAATGAAGGGCCCATAAGCAGCAAGAGGGGACAATAAGGTGAGAAGATGGAGAAAGGGGTAGGTATCATTCTTAAGTAAAATGGAGATTTTAAGCACATGAGGAACAAGAGACTGAGATTGGTTTCTCCCCTCTCAGTTACACTGCAGTTGATCATCCCAATGAAAAACCAGTCTGAGAGAAGAGAGAGGCCCCAGTGCCCACATTAGCTCTGCCTGGACCTTTGGAGTTTTGAGATGTTTGGTTTGTCTCAGCAAACCAAACATCTCAAAATTCTTAGCAAGGACTGAATAATAGAACTTTCATATGAAAAAAAAAAAAAAGTCCAAAATTGTCTTCCATTCATCTCCTGGCTCATGGCAACAGCTGAAGGACTTGCTCTTACACTCCTTTGGAAATCTGCTCTTTCTTCACTGGGGTATTTGGATTAAATTCTCCACAAATGATCCCAGATTCCCCACTGAATGTGCAAACAGCAAGGAGTGAGGCAGTGAGGTGTCTGCAGGTAAGGAGAGGAGCTGATGATTGAGGAGC